TCCCCTTTGGGTATATACCAAGTAATGGGATTGCTGGGTTGAATGGTATTTCTGTCTTTAGGTCTCTGAGAAATCACCACACTGTCTTCCACAATGGTTGAAATAATTTGCACTCCCACCAACAGTATAAATGTGTTCCTTTTTCTCCACAGCATCACCATCAGGTCATTTTTTTACTTTAATAATTGCCATTCTGACTGGTGTGGTATGGTATTTCGCTGTGGTTTTTATTTGCATTTCTCTAATGATCAGTGATGTTGAGCTTTTTTTTTCCATATGTTGGATTCTTAAAGATGCTGGATATAAGACCTTTGTCAGATGCATAGTTTGCAAAATTTTTCTCCTATTCTGTAGGTTGTCTGCTTACTCTGTTGATAGTTTCTTTTGCTGTGCAGAAGCTTTTTAAATTAATTAGATCCCATTTGTCAATTTTTGCTTTTATTGCAATTGCTTTTGGCGTCTTCATTATGAAATCTTTGTCTGTGCCTATGTCCTGAATAGTATTGCCTAGGATGTCTTCCAGGATTTTTATAGTTTTGAGTTTTACATTTAGGTCTTGAATCAATTTTCAGTTGATTTTTGTATATGGTTTAAGGAAAGGTTCCAATTTCAATTTTCCGCATATGACTAGCCAGTTATCCCAGCACCATTTATTAAATAGCGAATCCTTTCCTTATTGCTTGTTTTTCTCAGGTTTGTAAAAGATCTGATAGTTGTAAATGTGTGGCCTTATGTCAGGTTCTCTATTCTGTTCCATTGGTCTATGCTTCTGTTCCTATACCAGCACCAGGTTATTTCAGTTACAGCAGCCTTGTAGCACAGTTTGAAGTCAGGTAGCATGATGTCTCTGGCTTTGTTCTTCTAGCTTAGGATTGCTTTGGCTATTGGGCTCTTTTTTGGTTCCATATAAATTTTAAAAGAGTTTTGTCTGGTCAGTATAACAAAGCAAGACAAATAAATGTCTACAAAATGGAAAAAATGCAATGTTTCCTATTCACAGACAGCATCATTATTTATGTAGAAATGTTCAAGGAATCTACCAAAAAAATCCTTCTAGAACAAATAATTGAATTTAGCATGGCTTCAGAATACAAAGTCAACTTATAATTCTTATTCGTATTTCCACATACTTAAACAATTCCAAATTGAAGAACTGTAAACTAAAATTTGTAAAACAGTTCTAATTAGTTAGGTGTAAAATTAGTACAAAATTAGTTAGGTGTAAACACAACAACACTCAAGGGGACTTCAAAATGTTCATAGAAAAATAAAATCAAAAGATAAAAATAAAAAATATAAACTTTATTTCTCTACATACGTTCCATGAACATCAAGATACTTTTGTTAGTGACTACACAAACCAATTACTTCATTCCTAAGGAAGTGAGGGTCCTGGGAATTTAACCATGTCAACGCTGTCTTTTTTACATTATTAACTGAAGAAAAATGGATGCCCTTGACAGATTTTTTAATATTTGGGAAACAAAAAGAAGTCCACAAAAGCCAGATCAGGACTGTAAGTTAATGCCTAATAATTTTCCACCAAAACTTCTACAAAATTGACCTTATTTAATGAGAGGAATGAACAGAAGCATTGTGATAGAGAAGCACTCTCTGGCAAAGCTTCTTCGGGTGCTTTTCTGCTAATTAGTTGGCTGTCTCAAAACATTTTAATAATAAGGAGATGTTATTGTCCTTTTACCTTCCAGATACTCAGCAAGAAGAACATCTTGAGCAAGCCAAAAATGTGCTGTCATAACCTTTGCTCTTGACTGGTCCACTGTTGCTTTGACTGGACCACTTCCACCTCTTGGTAGCCATTGCTTTGATTGTGCTTTGTGTTCAGGATCATGCTGATAGAGCCACATTCCATCTCCTGTGGAAATTCTTTGAAGAAATGCTTCAATATCTTGATCGTACTTGTTTAAAATTTCCACAGAAAGCTCTGCTCTTGTCTGCAGCTGATGTGGGCCCAGTGGTTTCGGCGCCCATCAAGTAGAATGTTTGTTCAACTTCAGATTTTTAGTTAGAATTGTGTACAATGAACCAATTGAGATGTTTATGGTGTTGGCTATTGTTTCACCTGTCCGTCTTTGGTGCTCTTCAATTACAGCATAAACAAGGTAATTTTTTTTTCTTGCAAGCTAATGTGAATGTAGATTGTCTGCTGCTGTGAACTTCACCTTCAAAATCATCTTGTCCTTTCTTAAAATGAGTTAACCATATATAAACTGCTGATTTTTGAGGGGGCATTGTGCCTATAAATTTTCTATAAAGCAACAATGATTTCCACATTCTTCCATCCAAGATTCACCACAAATCTGATATTTTTTCTTGCTCTAATTTTAGCAGAGTTCATGTTGCTCTGATAAGAATGCTTGCCATAGGACAGTTGCTTTTGTCCTTCTTAATGTCTCAAACTAGATCATGTTCAAAAACGCTATATTACATTAATAAGAGTTTATTTTGGTGCAAAAAATTGATAATATGCATTTTTCATTAACTTTTTGAAGACCCTTTGTATGAGCAAGATCTACATGCTGAAAATTCATACACACTGATTAAAGAAATCAAAGACCTAAATAAATGGAGGGACATGCTGTGTTAATGGATCTGAAAAATTAATATATTTTATTTAACAACTCTTCACCAAATTTATACTAGGTTATTTCAATTACAATAAAAATCTAAGCAATATTTTTGTAGATATAGATAAACTGATTTTAAAATGACATAGAAAGCAAAAAAAAAATTAGAATGGTCAAATTGTTTTCAAAAAGTAGAATAAGGTTGAAGGACTCACATCACCAGATATAAAGCTTCAATAGTCAATACATTGTGAGCAAAAATATAGATGCCAAATAGAGTCCAGAAATAGATCCACAGTAATATGGTCAATTATTGTCTAATAAATTTACAAAAAAATAATTTAATGGATAAAGATAATCTTCTCAAGAAATGGTGTTGGAATAATGGGAACACAGATGGATCGCAAAGAAATAGCATGAGACAATTTGGGGAGATGATGTGAATTTTCTGTGTTCTCATTGTGGTGGAGGCTAAATAGCTCTATGCAGGTATTAAAGCTCACAAAGCTGTACATCAGAAGAAGTGAATGTTATGGTATACAATAAAAAAGGCACTTGAGCTATTTATGAAACAGCTACTGTATAATGGAAAGGATCCAGAAGAAAAAAAAATCAATTTCAGCTCTGTTGCTTCACGTTTACGAATCTGGACATTTTGACAGTTCTATTCTTATTTTCCTTATCTATGAAGTAGAAACATTAATATATTTTCCAAATATTGGTATGAGCGTCATGTATGAGATAATGTGTGTAAAAGAAGTTCATATAGTACAATTAAACAAATATTGAAAATAATTGTTATAAAATATTTATCAAAAAAATTAGAAGATAATCTTGAAATACTTGTTTAAGGGGTATATTATTTAAAGTCCAAGCAGGAAAGAAACCGCACATTAACTGGATAATTTTAGGATAGTTTATATAAGTGACTATTCACAGAGATGTGTGCAGAGTGTAGGGAAACCACAAGGACTCTGGAGTCAGCAACAATCAAGGGGAATGTTGATAGGTAATGTCAATGCTGTCATTCTACACTTGAAATCTCAAAGCCACTACTGTTAGAAGGGAAAACAGAAAAAGTTCATTAGCAGGAAACACATCTTGGAGTCCAGTCCTACAGCTGCTCAAGCAGCCTAAATTGGTCATTGCAGCTGCATATTCCACCACCTCCTCTTTGTCCCTCTCCTTCTGCTGTATTGCAGAGGTTGTTTACCTAGTGGAGTGAATCAAAATTTATTTCACTGGGATTTGATTCCTTGGTGGCCTTTTGGTGGTGGTAGGTTTTTTTCATTTGTTTGTTTGTTTTATATATTTTTTTTATTTTTCTGGGGGTTGTTGAATAATTTTTCTGGCTAGTACTTTTTGACAAGAAGGTAATAGAAGGCTCCCCCATAAATCCTCTGACCCAAGCATAGTCTCCCTTATCCCCACTGTATAACAGCAAGCTAAATTGACTTTGGTAATTGAGATCAATCCCTACAGCTGCCACAGTGACATCTTTATCTGTTTGTTTTATAGCTTGAGGAAGCCAAAATGGCAAGTGGCAATCTCAGCTTCCAGCTCAATGGAAGGATGATAATATTCCTGGATGGAAGCACTCACTCCTTAGTTATTAGGCCATCTAAAAACACAAGGCCTAGGTTGTGGGAACAGAAGGAAAAAAATTCAAGTAGGTTAACAGGAAGAATACTGAAAGAGACCATTTGCACTTCTCCTTAGTTACCAGATCTGAGCATTGTGTTAATGATAGACATAACACCATGTATTCTCCACTGGTTAAAGGCATATACAACACGTATAAGAGTGTAGTCCCACATCGTGAGGTGTGTGCTCTAACTAGTGCTATATTTGAATCTTCAGCAAGCCTATTCACTGTTCCATCAGGCCAGATGCTCCTGAGGCATGGGGATCTTGGTAAGAACTCATGAACCTCATAGTTGCAAGCTCATTACTACACTTCCTTTGCCGTAAAATACATCTCTTGGGCAGTGGCAACATTGTGTGTCAATGAATATGGCATTCCGTAAGTCCAGGAATAGTAGTTGTGAAAGAAGAGCTGTAGGTAGGAAAATCAAATCTGTAAGTCAAATATGTGCCTACCCATGAAGTGCAAGGATTTGGGTCTAATATGTGCAGCAGCCACCACGTGACTGGCTGGTCCCCTGGGGTATGATGAAAGGTGAAATCTCAGAGTTGGTTCCGCTGTTTGGCATGTCGGTCACTCACCCCTTTTCCTTCCCTGTGATCTCCTTCTGCTGCTCTCCATGGTCCAAACCCAACCATAAATCAGTGTCAAGACTTTCAGATTTCTCTATTTTCAAAGTAGAAATTCTGAATTCCATGGGACACACTAGTATCTTTTCTCCCTGTCTCTCATTCCCACCCTCCCTCCACCTTCACTCTTCCCCTTCAGCTATAACACCAGACTATTTTTTATTTCATTTTTATTGATACAATAATTTCCTTCACAATATGATGGGTGAAGATAAATAACTACTCCTGTATAATGCTGTATTTAATTTTTGTTTTGTATTTGATCACTGAGATAACATTCTTTGATGGCTGTAGTAAACTTCACTATAGCCAAATGTCAAATCTCTCATTTAAAATTCTCCTGTCATTATTATTATCCACAGGAAGGTGTGAAATTATGTCACCAACTCTGTGAAATTTAGTGACAGCTGAAAACCAAAGCCCTTCTAACCTTCAACATATGAACATTGGCCAGTAGATAAAATGTATTTTCTCATTATGTGTGTCTAGTTCTCTCCTTTTATTATGGAGAATAAAGCTGGCATCTAAATCACAGGGAGCTAGAAGTCTACTGGCATTCCATTATACAAGGCCTCCCATTGGAAATCAGGCTTCAGGCACAATAAATAAAACAGAGCTAACGGTGGCAACGAATTGGAGAGCTGAGAATGTACATGGCTATCATGAGGAAAAGGGTGACTGTTTCATTATTGCTGCTTGGTCATATTTCACTGTTGTATGTGTATGGACACTATTCACATGATAGAGGACTTTCATGGTGCGATAGTTTTTCTTTTGTGCTCTAACAGTGAAAAAGGTAAAATTCAAAACCATGAATTAAATCCTTAAATTCCAGATGGAACCTCATCACTAGAGATATAAATATTAAGCTTTTTAATGATCTGTAAGAAATGCAAAACAATGTCAACATCAATGTTTTGGATTGTAATGAACCTGTGGTTAACCTTTCAAGATATGCAGCCAGCAGCTTGTGCTACAAAAATGGGCTCCAGATAGAAATGATATTTCTCAGCCAGCAGGGTGTTTTCCATTACCTTAAAATGTTCAATATTTCTGCGCACATTAGCTTTACTAATTGAAGCTACTTTAATGCTCTCGAAAGGTTTAAGAAGCAAATGTGGAGGAACACTGGTATTGAGAAGATTGTGCTGACTGATTAGCAACGTGTTTCTGTAAACAGGCAGCACAGTGGTTGGCCTACCTGTTGGTGTACTATTAGACCTTGATGAAAAATGTTAATTTTCATTTGTGTTAATGGCTTTTGACGTTGGTGCTTCACACACCGTTTACTGGCCTTCTCAGTAGGTACGGATGCCAGCCTCCCTCAGGATGGCTTTCCATTTGCATTAAGTATTCATCACAGAGATAAATAGTCATGGCCTGACACGACACAAATGATGGATTTGAAGAAATCCAAGCAAGTCCCTGGGGATGGAGAAAAAGGAATGTGAGGCTTTTGCTCTCCTGAGATTTGATGGAACCTTTGCAAAGCTGCTCACCCTTTTCAGATGGCATGACTACAGACAGTCTACATCTGTCTATGTCAAGTTGTAAAATTTACAGTGCTTATTTATATATACATTCAGTAGCCAGTCATGTAGTCAACACATAGTTTTCTTCAGTGACTACACATATTAGGCACAGCTTCTAGAAACTGCTGTGATATAATTTCCAATTCTAGTGGTAAAAACTAGTTGGCAAATACCTCTGTGTTGGCATAACTTCAGGGAGAACCTTTCTGTCCCTTCATAAAAAGATGATCTCTTAGACTGGCTCATTCCAAATGTGAAGCTGAGACTGTCTCCTGCGTGCCATTGCTCTGCATGGAGTTTACTGGAGAGGGGAGTAACACTGGGGGAATTCCAGAACAGAGCTGAACATAAAAGGAAATGAAAATAGCATGTAAAAAAGAAGCAAAAATAAATAAATAAATTGAGAAGAGACAGAGCTTGAAAATGAGAAGGAAAGACACAAAAACAGGATTAAAAAAAAAAAAGAAAAGAAAAGAAATTCAAGCAATCCCCTCTGAACCCAGCAGCAACAGAGTACCCTGTGGTTGGTACCAGCAGTGACTCCATTTACCCTAAACTTTTGTTGGGTACATGTCACAGATTTCATTAATTCCTCCCAAAAAAGCAATGATAAATAGGTAGTGTGCATTTCATATGATAGAATAAAAGTGCTTTCTTATGTTCCTTGAGGTGCTATTATACAGACACACCTTATATCGAAAAATATAAATATGACATAGGTTTTGAAGCTGGCTATCTTCACCTTGGAAGTGTCGCAACGGATCTGCTTACTTACAGTCCAGACAGTGCTTCTCACTGGAGTCTTTCAAAATCTGTCCAGAAACAATGATCTTAGGCTATGCTGTTTTATCGGGACTATCGTGAATGTATAAACTTACTCATTGCTGGTAATGGTAAGCTGAATGGAAGCTATTGAGTAAGTTAATGTGTCTTCAGAGGTCCTTCTCAGCCTTTGCGAGAAAAAGGCCATTCACTTATAAATGCAACAAATATTTATTATAGACCTCCCGTATGTCAGAATCTGGGCTTAGCGCTGCAGATAGAGCAGTTGAAGAAGACTGCAAGGTCCCAGCACCCGTAAAATGCCAATCCTACATATTTATTATATTCCCTACCTCTCAGGAGGGACCCATCACCCATGGAAGTGAACTGGGCATGTCAGTTTTCAATCCCAGGGTTCTAGGGACCCAATCTTGAAAACATAATTGGTTAGGCCTCTTCTTCTATCTCTCTTTCTTACCTTTTATTCCACCAATGTCACAAGGATGAACAGGGTGCCCAAAGATCCCTCCTTTTCCTTGGGGCTACTCCAAGCACTGGTAAAAAGCAAGGTCTATCTTGCTGTGTTCCCTATTCACTTCATTTTCTCCAGTGCCAGAGACTGTGGCAGACTCTCCTGTCCTCGTTATGCCTGGTGAGTTTCACAGTGAAGGAAGTAATAAGGGAAGTTCTGCTGGTGACATTTTAATTAAGAGACCTAGAAATGCCTAAATCCTACTGTGATATCACTGCTCTCACCTTCCCATACTTCTCAAAGAGCAGTTATGCACGAGGAAGACAGCCACAGTAAAGAAACCTTTTATATGTGGCTATTATTTGGCTGCTCAACTTAATGTACAACTTTTGCACTAGAGGGACACAAGAATAGCTTCATTTTGCTATGCTAAGGAGGCTGAATGTCTTAGACCAAAGCTGAATGTCTTAGACCAAAGCTGGCCATGTTCCCCTGGGGTTAGGTGAAGGTTCAGAGGACTTCCTTTCTTTGAAGGCATCACTACCAACTTCCCTGTCTGAAGCCCTCCTTAGTAAATTGTCCTGAGGCACAGTAACAATACCACCATAGTACACAGACTCAGATACAGGCTTGGCAGTATTTAGCTGTATTCAAATTGCCTCAGCCTATGGCCTTGTCATTTCTATCATTATGGCCCCAAGGCTTAGTTCTTATCTTCATCCCAAATCTTGCTGTTGCAGTACTATGCTCTGGGTTCTCATGGTAGCCCCCAAGGAGTGTTTGTTGCCACATGTCCCTCCTGTAATCACTTAGATCTATGACCTCCCTTGGCTTTTGGCTCTCATCCCATGATGCTAAAGGCTTGTGTCCACCCCTCTCCTGGTATTGGGAGCCCAGTCCCCAAAAGCCTATCTAGTGATGAGATCCTTGTTCTCCAAAGCAGACACCCTGAACATTGACTTGCAGCCCACAGGACTCTCCACTTGCACACAGCCTCATGCCTCTACTTCTATGCTGCTGTTAGGGCCAGCTTGGAGCTCCAGGGCCAGCTATTGCCTCAAACAGGACTGTTTTGGAATTGTACTAACACATTGGGCCTCTCCCACTTGGCTGAATCTCTGCCTCCATCACAGACCACCATCCACCCCATCCTGTTCTGCTGGCTGGGAGTTCCTGACTCCTCCTTTCTGTTCCATGTTACCATAGAACCATCATGCCTCCAATCTAAATTAATGGCAGAAAAACCCGCACTGTTCCTCCCTCATGGGACTCTCCTCCCTTTCCAGATTCCTTAAATCTCATGCCTTCTCTTCTAATCAAGGTGTTTCTTCAAGAAAAGAACATGGGAGATGTGTTACTTTAACGTGGTGGTAAACCAACCTGGCTTCATTGTAAACCAAGTATTTGGAGTCCAGTCCACTGTGGATTCTCCACAGTGAAGGACGAGCTCTCCCGGTTACAGGAGCATGGAACATTCAGAACGTATGTGGGGGATGTTTGGGAACATAAGGGTTTCCACATGTCCCTAACTCACCTTCAAGTAAAACAGAGGCCGGCTTACAGGGATGCTACACTAAGATTATTTTTCCCTGAAGAAACCCCTCAGCTTTCTGTCCTCCTCAACCTGTCCTCTGTGTTGTGCAGAGGTAACCAGATGCTCGTCAGAGTCTCCAGAAGCTCCCTGCACACACAATGCAGAGTGTGAAGCCAGAGTCAGCCAGGCAGGGCACATCACGGTCTCCAACCTTGTAGAGACTCATGATTCCTTCTTAATCTCAGCATTCATAAATCCATACATGTTAGCAATGGTACTTGCATTATCTGTTGAGAAAAAAACACATTGGCAAAAAATTACGAGATGTATTTAAAAGTTCTTTTCAAAATGTTGAATTTGTTAATCATAACAAGCTATACACATATAGAAATAAATAGCTGTATGCATGGGCAAGAAAAGCCGTGAGCCCAATCCATAAGTCATGTACAGTGTACACATGCGGGGTCCATATGCCTGGCTCCTACTCCACAGCCCTGAGAGATTCTTGTTCTGAAGCTGTGTGCCACTGGGTCTGTGTGATTAGATTGTGGATAATTTCCTGCTGATACTAGGAGACCTACTGGTCTGTTCCAAGATGCTTAGCATCACAAGCACAACCTGAGCCCCATTTCCCAGTTACAGACAGGAAGTTTGGGGCATGGGGAGGGGTTCATGCCTCCCAGTCTTAGATCCATCTCCCTGCTAACAACAGTGGAGGGGGCGGGGTAGGTGAAAAGTCTTCAGTGAAGAAGAGGTCGTTTCTCTTCTCAGAGCAAAGCCAAGGAACAGTGGGCTGTGTGCTTAGTTCTTCGATATGTCTTCAACATTTATTTGGTCTGAATTGCTAGGAAATACTGACCCTCACCCAGAAAGTGATAACCAAATTGGTAACCTTTCAAATGAGCAGCGTTTTCTCTTCTTCCTTTGGTCGCTCAGTGGCATATTCTATTAAATGGTGATCAGCAATTTCTTTTCTCAAAGATGAAGTATCAAAACTACATGGATAAGATAGAAATATATTGTCATACTTCTCCTTTATCCATAAGGGAAAAAGAAGTTATCCCTAAAAAATCATTCCTTTTCCCTTGGTGAGGCAGCCGCTGGTATTTCTATTATCCCTTGTTGCTGTTTGGATCAACTGTCCTCGACATCAATTTATGCTCTTAGTAAGTCTTCAGTGAATCGTCAGAATCAAGGCTTGTCTAAGGCAACATATTTCAAAGATAGAAAAAGTTTCCAAAGATTTATACATCTACCTCTGAGAAAGAAATACAAATTAAGCCTTCAATTTCCTTCCTGAAGCTCATTGAATAAAATCTACTTTCTGGGTAAGGTCTATGAATAAGACTTCCCCGGGGCCTAAATATACTGTTGTTTATTAATTTCATTTTCCTGCCAAGAAAGTATTTTTTCCAAAGAGGCAGTGAGTCTAATTATTGCCAGGAATGATCACAACCCAAATTTAGAAATTATGGAGTTGAACAATAGTCACCTTAATTCTCTCCTTTCTTGAAATAAATGCATTCTGCATTCTTTTGGTGCTTATTGAGCACCAGTCGTGTGTCAGGTCTTGATAGCAATGAAAATAGGAAGGTGAAAAAGACACGGTCCCTTTAAGTTTTGGGAAAGCACAGTGTGCAAGGCAAGCACTGGAGAGGTAACAGGTCCAAATTTGGGGAGATGGAAGAAAGCTTCCATCACTGAGGGCAAGGGACATCTCAATGAGACCTAACGAAGAGTAGAAGTCATGGGACAATCTAGACCAGTGCTCCTCAAAGCAAGCACCATGCACGGGTGCCAATTCATAAACTGCATGTTATTGTAACAAGATAAGTATAAAATTGAGAGCAGGCATTAAGAAGCTTTTGGAGTAGTTGGACAAATATCCAAACATGTGATCAGCAGGTTTTTATTTTATGTTTTTATATTTATTTGTTTCTAATAATTGGTTTCAATTGTGTTTTGGTGCTCGCTTCGGCAGCACATATACTAAAATATATAAAATTGTGTTTTGTAAAAAGTTGTAGTCTACAATGGATTGGGAATTTAGCAAAAGGAAAACTGGCACTTTTTCATCCAGGATTTGAGAAGCAGTGATCTAGTGTGTGGCTGGGAAGGGCTGGGAAGAGGGCACAGAGAAGCAGATTCTAAAGCTTGCCTCTGAGGCTGGAAAGACAGGCATGTTCTGGGAACTGCAGTTCCTCCCAAAGCATCTTCTCCTAAAAGACATTATCTTCTTCCTACAGCTCACAAGCAATCCTTTCTCTGATCCTGGTAATTCTTAACATTGTGCATGCTCTCTATGTGTCTGGCACTCCATTACGCACTTTATCTGTGCAATCTAATCGTTATAACCAAATGACAAGGTAAATGCTCTTATTTTTCTTATTTTGTAAATGAGAGAAGTAAGATTTGCCAAGGTAAAGCAACTTACCTAGGTTACATCCAGAATGCCAACCCAGGAATCTCTGTCTCTATTTAGTCATCTAGTCAATTTCCTAGAAGTTGTTATACATTAACTTCATAAAATCTCTGTATTTGGGAAACCCCATCCCTTCATTAAGAAGTTGGAGAAAAGCTTCCAATTCTTCTCATCTTCTTAGCTACCCCTAGAGTTATCTCTCCTTCAAACAACACAACTTTAAGCAGAAAAAATATCTATCACCCTAGGGTTGTTTCTTTTCTCTGCACATGATCCAAGCTTTCACCTGTTTACCTTTGGGATCTGCTGTGAAACATAATCATGGCTTGAGCTACCAAAAAGCACATATGTCAGTATGATTTCTGACCCATTTGTTCCAAGTACATTTGCTAGTATAACTTGTAGTCACCAGGGTTTTGAGAACTTTCATAAGCATCCTTTTTTTCTTCTTCTTGCTCGTTTCAGACTAAATCAGGGATGATGATGACTGCAATAAACTCCACTGAGATGATTAGTGCTCCCTGAAATGTGGCTCTCTCTGGCAGGGCTGCACTGATTGTTCATCACCCAGCTGGTTTCCTTTATACTTTATACCACCTCCCGCAACGGTGCTCCTGGTCTCAGGGAGGTTGCCAGCTGACAGAGTAAACAAACAGCCATACACCCTGATTGCAAAATTTTCTAAAAGGCAAACATCTCTCCCAAGTGCCAAGACAGAAAGCGTTTTAAGTTTAATTAAGTTTTTCCAAATGTATTCCAGTCATCAGAGAAGTACAACTCCCCGTGAATTTGCCTGTGGTGATAAAAGGGGTTGAGTCTATTCCATGAGGTGACGACCATATGGACAGCTTCTCTGAAAGAGATAATGAACAGAGCTACATTTCAGAGAATTTCAAGGAGTTTTGCAGCAGGAAAAGATATTAAAGATTATCTCAGATAATCTGAACTATTTTATAAAAATCAAATTTGAAAGGAAATCATCTCGTCTTCCATACACACACTATGATTAACAGCACATTCAACCTGGGATGCATAATTGTATCCCAGTTCTTTACTGTCTGGATTAAATTGCTGGGAAGGGGTAGGAAAATTGGCATTGGGAGAATGCAGTGTTCTGACCAACTGCTGAATCTGAAGGGAATCACAAGCTTCATTTAATAAGATGTTTTTCCTCCAATTTAATTTTGACCTTCACGTTACTCCTTTCACTTTCAAGCCCACATACCACACACCACACTCACTGCTTTAGTCATTACATAGTATCTCTTCAGAGGTGGAGCTCGCTATGCTGCCCAGGCTACTCTTGAACTCCTGGGCTCAAGCGATCCTCCCTCCTCAGCCTCCCGTGTAGCTGGAACTATAAGTGTGTGCCACCACACCCTGCTTCTCTGATGCATTTCAAAAATCTTATTTCAAAAGGTGTTTAAATCTAGGATGTCACTGACTACACAACTAAAGTAAAAAGTTGACTAATTTAAATAAATTAGCATTATCTTGCCTTCGTTCCCAATTTTTGTCTTAATATTTTTCCTTTTTTGGCTTCAAAAATCTGGGATGGAAGGGTTGCTTAGTTGATTTGATCATTTGTTGATCAGAATAATTATCTCTTCATTTCTAAAATAATGCAAACTCTTAACTTTAAAAGATGTTCTTTTAAAATAACTCACTGCAATATCCTCATTTTAAGCAGATCCAAAACATTTAGACGAGATGAGACTTACTACATCCTCATACTTTTTAGTTTTATTCTTAACCACCTCAAACATGATACTTTCCTACATGTTCAACTCCATTCTTTAAAAATAGCAGTTACCAATTAGAGGATTGAGAAAAATCAGTGAATGCAATAGGAAAAAATACTTACATTTGTGTATTTTCTATAATTCATTAGTATTTGAAGATTTATGAAGTTTATAGCTATCATAGTTTGTGTTTGACTTCAGTGTGTTGTAATCTACCAGCTCATTCATTTACAGTGTTTCATTTATTTTCAGAATAACCATATGAAAATATTTCTTAAATTCATACATATGTCCCAGTTAATTTGATCTAAAATGCAGAACATTGACTTTTCACTTCATAATGTAGATTCCAGCAATAGGTGTCTTCCATGAGCCCTCCTTTTCCAGTTATTTTAAGGTGGAGTGGCTCTACCAAGGATAGAAGTGTCCTCTTCTTTGTCTCAAGCCCATTTTCAAATGTCTGAAAAATTACGTCCTTTCACAATTCTCCACCAGCTTAAAGGGTTAAGGAATGCTATAAGCAGAAAGGACAGTTAGGGGTCTCAGCTAATAACGAATGCACATTAGAACCACTTAGACATGAGGCATTTTGTTAAAATGCCAATGTCCAGGCTTCAACCCCAACCCAAATGAGTTAAAATTGCTTAAGGGGAGAACCTAGGAATTAGTCCTTCGTTTTACAATTCTCCAGGTATTTCTAATATGCAGCCAGGTATGGGAACAGCGGAAAGCACGTCAGCTTTGGAATTGAAAACACCTGAGTTTGAAACCAGTGTCTGCCATTTACCTGTGCTATAATTGAAGATAATTTACTAATTTTTCTGAAAATCAATTTTCTTATTGATGAAATTGAAATAATTACCTTATACAGTTAATGAAAGAATTACATAAAATTGCATATGTGGAGGAACCCAGCACAATATTAGGCAGCAAGTACGTTTCCAATAACTAATAGATT